TCATTGTGAGCACCGTTTATGTAAAGATGCAAATGACGAGTCTAAAATATAATCCACTCATGAAAAAAATTCAATTTTTATTCTAGCTTATTATTATTATTGTTGTTGTTGTTGTTTGGGAAACGCCTAATAATAAGTTAGGTGGTTACATCAGAAAGGTACAAACGCCTTCTAGTGGATAAAAAACCCCACACATACCCGTCTATGACTTCATGTCGAGAGCTCCTTCTTGCTAGGTTACGTGCATTGACATTTAACTTTCTTCCTTTGATCTCATGAACAATATGATCGTAAGTGCCATGGCGCAGTCACTTGCCAAAATAAATTTACTCATTGCAGACCATTAGCCAAGGAAATGCCCTCCCTGCACGCCAAAGCTTCTAGCGTCTCCGGGTCTATCATTCTTTCTCTAACTTCCACTGAGGCTCCAAGGTACACTCTGGTGAACTCCTTGTCACTGTCGCAACAACATCTAAGCTTGAATTCTTAGACACCATCAACGTTGATTTTAATAAAACCCACTTGTGGAGGAATTCATCTAGGAACCTTTTCCTGTATTATTCTTTTTTCTAGCACCGGTCCAAGTTTTGATAGTTCTTGGTCATCGAGAAACCACTTCTCCATGAAACAGTGGGTCAATAGCGGGCTCTGGAAATAACTCTCATGTATAACTTTTTGCCTAGCGCGCCAGATATCCCACATTCTCATCATTAATCTAACCAAATCATCCTGCAACAATGTAGAGAACATCACCATGAGCCAACCCCTTGGGTTATTCTAGCTTACTATTAGAGCATCGCTAACATATTACTTATACCCATGTCTAATACTAAAAATATGCAATATAAGGGATTATGGTGCTCCAACAGATTACTGATCATATCCCCAATACCTAAAAATTATAAGTAGTTACTTAAAATCCATCCCCTCTCCTTCAAATGTAGGAGATCCACACCCTATCCCCTACCCCCTTTAAAGGTATTGGTAATCTGTTGAGGGAGAAGAAGAAAAAGCTACACTAATAATAATATGAGATTACCTATATACTCCATCTGTCCCACAATACATGTTGTTTTAAGATCTGTCCTGTTACCAAGGTGAAGGCTCAACGGCATAAAAACCCCGACAAAAGAATGATAGTTGCTGACACATGCTGTTACTGGAGCACGGAACCACATCTCACGGAGGGAGAGCACCACTAGCAGCCGACCACCACTCCATTTCTTCCTTATTCTATTCACCTGGACGGGAACACGATGGGACGGATGGAATCTCTGCTACGGGTTGAGACCTGGTTAGAGAGGCTATAACGTCAAGTAATATGGGACGAATTTTTTGAACTCCATAGCGTCATATATTATGGGACAGAGGGAGTAGACTTTTATGAGATGCCAGATAAGTAATCCGAGATGCTCTTAAGATGTAGCACTAGTTACATATGGTTGCGTTGCGAGCGAAACATGGGCTCCGTTGACCCATAATAGCATAGATATGACCAAAAATAGCGAAGGCGGAAAACAACCCCTAAGCAGTTTGGAAACAAGTACATTTTACCCCCCTAAACTATCATCATGATCTGATTTTTCTTCTTGAACTCTAAAAATAGACATCTTAACCCCCGAACTCTAAAAAACGTTCAAATTACCTTCCTACCATGGATGGAAGTGATTTGAAGACAGTTTCGTTCTTTTTTTAGTTAATAAAATTTCATTAAATACTTTAAGATATTTAAACCACAAAATGTCTCTAAGCTTCTTCTTTTTTTGAGAAAAATATTATAGATAGATTTGGGACACTACAAACTTAAATAAAGTATTTACACCTCATGAAAATATTTCTAGAAGCTTTGAAAATACTCGCTCCGTTCTAAATTATAAGTCGCTTTGACTTTTTTAATACACTGATTTTGCTATGTATTTAGTAGACATACATTATCTAGTAAAATCAATGTATCAAAAAAATCAAATGACTTATAATTTAGAACGAATGAAGTATTATATTTAACTCTCAAAAAAATCGAAAAATATCCTTCCCATGTTTCTATGGCTATTGCTGTGTGCTGATCAGCTTCCTATTGCTGTGCTGCTGCACCCAGATATCCAGAGCTGCAGGCCTGTACAGCTAGCCAACACAAGCCTGCAGCACCAAACAACCATAAAAATCAGAAATGAGCAGGCCAGACTTCTTCCCAATCGTTTTGGGCTGGATCAAGCCCAGGTCGGACAAACGTTCTTCTTCATCGACAACACAGCGACAGCGGGCGTTGGTGTCGCGGCTTCCATCTCGACGGCATTTTGCCGAGAACGCTAGTCTGCGATAAAGCGATGGAGATGGAGCCTTGGCACTGGCCATTGGCCATTGCTGCCTCCCTGCCGGCTAGACGGTAGGCAAAAACTGCAGATGAACCTCCTTCAACTGCAGCCATTAGCCAAGGAACCCCTTCCCTTATTTGCCCCTTGAATCAAGTATTTTGCCTTATGTGTATGTTTCAAAAAACTACAGTATATAATAATGACTCGGAATTTTTCCTCCAACTTACAAAGTTGAACTGCCCAAATTAAACTCTCAACTGGTCAACTTAAAAATCCAACCTTCTACTGTGAACTTTAACTTTCAACTTAGGTATACTAGAGAAGTTACTCGCCTGAAAAAAAAAAACTAGAGAAGTAGGAAGCTTTCAACTCTGAAGAAAAAATAACATCTATATATTGACAATGGCGTGATGATACGTCTACTATATGTATAGGCAGTAGCATTGATCGTTACCTACTCAGAAAAGAATGCATAGTAAGAGATAACTAGGTTTGAGAGAAACATGTCATGGAGAGATAAAATTGGATAGAGAGAAACATGTCATAAGAGCAAAAACTCAAGCATTGCTCTTCCTGCCGGTCCATGGCACATGGCAAGTTGGTATCCACAAAATATTACTCCCTCGTCCATAAATATAAGGCATTCTGAGTTGAGTAAAATTTGCGAGCGGTTATGAAACTTATCTCAGATTGTCATTTTGATCTCCGAACTCTTAAAAATATATTCCCTCCATTCCAAATTATAAGACATTTTGGATTTTTTTAGATACGTAACTTTTACTATGCAATTAAATATACACTATATCTAGATATATAGTAAAAATAATTTATAGCGAAAAGTGAAGACGTCTGATCTTATAGTTTGGAAAGAAGAGAGTATTATCAACTCCCCAAACTTATCCAACGGTGTCTTATAAACCACGTACACTCAAACTATATACCATTTTTAGGTCCCACACATTTTGTCCTAGAATATCATTTTCAAGTTCTCGCGTGGGTAGGGGCCACATGTCATCCTATGGTGCTCCATCTCTTTGTCCCCCCTCCCCAACACCACTACTCTCTTTGCTAGCCCCAAATAGGTCAAAGATGTGGATATCCCCATGAGAGGGTTTTCATGGGAAAACTCTCATGGTAGCAAGACCTTTGCTTGCCACAATGAAAAAAGACGCGAGTGGAAGATTCTTCGTGCAAGATCTTGGTGGTGGTTGGATCCATGCCTAATTTTTAACTATAATGGGAATTCATATAAAGCAGTCGTTCTTCCACCTTTTTTTTTTGCCTAGGGAGAGCCTTATTGTTTCCACTACTTGGGATGTCATGGCCTTCGAGGTAGAGGATGAAGAAGGCAAAGGGGTAGGAATGACAAATGGTTGTAGGATCTGCTTGATGGCGCAGAGAGAGAGAGAGAGAGAGAGAGAGAGAGAGAGAGAGAGAGATCAACACATGGGCTCTACTGTCATGTAAAACTCACTAGTGAGGACCTGAGCCACATGGAAATCCATTGCGACTTTGTCATGCCAAGGTTTGTAGCGGATTGGATCCCGTTTGAACCTAGATGATACTCTATGACAAGTTTGGAGATTCAAAAGTGATATATTCATAGAGTTTGAGACCTAGATGACATACCCTAGGATAAATTGGGAGGGGGTGAAAATACATTTTGAGAGTTTATGGGCCTGAATGACACACCTCAAAACAAGCTCAGTGCATTTTACTCTTCTGTGTTTTTTTCCCTTTGTCCACATATGTAAGGAATTCAAGCACCTAGCACCCCACAATTAACAAACTCTTTTCCATTCAGTTGATATCCTCCCATTTAAATGAGAGGTGTGGCCCAACCATCGCAAGAATTAAGGAACTAAGTATGGTCCTTAACCTTTACTCAGGGGTACACATGCATCTATTCTATCTCTTGTTAATATGGCTTATGAGTTAATATTGTAAGGTGTCTAAAATGTGTTATATTTGTGGGCAGAGGGTGTAAAAAGAGATGTAAGAAGCCAATCGCATGAAAAACAAGCACTGTTCGTTCAGGCAACTGCGTGGTGTCATGGCGTCATCCACCAAACCATCCCGCGGGAGCGAGGATATTTCCCGGTAACAACGAACAACTAACAACTCCTGATCGAGCTCTCGCCTCTCGGCCAACGGCAGCGGCAGCGTTTCGCGCGTCAGATCAAGTGTCCGCCCCACGGTCGCGGCCTACCGGCTACCGCACTGTGCCGCGACTGCCGCGTGATCCACCTGCTCTTACTCTTCTCACACACCTCTAGATCGCGCACGGCGCACCTCATGCTAGCAGCTAGCTAGCTACCGCGACTTATGCAGCCCAGCGCCGTACGGCGGCGTCGTTTTCCTTTCCGGCGAGGGGGCCCGATCAGGATCAGCTCGGCACCGTACCCCGCGTGGGCGCCCGCCGCTGGCGTCGTCACGTCTATCGCGCAGGGCAGGGGCGGCAAGCAAGCAACCCCGACGTACGCCCGCTATGGCGACCTCTCGCCCTATAACAACACATCAAGGTTCTAGCAAGTGGCCATTGGCCAACCAGGAGCGCTCCGGTGAGCGGCAAGACACCGCCGCGGCCGGTACTATCAACAGCTCCGGCGAGCCTATAAATTCCGCAGCTCGCCTCCCGTTCTCTGCACAGCCCATCATCCAGCACGCACACAGAGCCGATAAGCAGTAATGGCTTCCACGACCAACACCATGTCCTCTCTTGCCCTGGTCCTCGCGTTGCTGCTCTCGAGCGGTGGCATCGGCGGCGCGGCGCGGCAGCTGCAGGAGCTCCCGAAGCCCGACCTGCCGCCGTTGCCCAAGCCTGAGGTGCCACCGAGGCCGGACCTGCCGCCGCTCCCCAAACCTGAGGAGCAGCCGCCGTTGCCCAAGCCGGAGCTGCCGGTGCCACCGCAGCCCCTCCCCAAGCCCGAGCTGCCGGTGCCCCCGCAGCCACTCCCCGTACCGCCGCAGCCGTTGCCCAAGCCCGAGCTGCCAGTGCCACCGGAGCCCCTCCCCAAGCCCGAGCTCCCCGTCCCGCCGCAGCCCCTGCCCAAGCCCGAGCTCCCTGTCCCGCCGCAGCCCCTGCCCAAGCCCGAGCTGCCGGTGGCACCGGAGCCCCTCCCCAAGCCTGAGCTCCCCGTCCCACCAGAGCCGCTGGCCAAGCCTGAGCTCCCCGTGCCACCGCAGCCCCTTCCCAAGCCGGAGCTGCCAGCCCCGGTGCTGGCTGGCGAACTTCCACCGAAGCCTGAAATTCCGCCGCTACTACCAAAGCCTGAGCCGCCCAAGCCCGAGATTCCGGCCATCCCTGAGGTGCACCTGCCGGAGCCTGCTGGGCCGAAGCCATGATCGACGATCTACGAGGACACAGCGCTCCACGATCCACATATATACGATACGAGTGTGTTTGGTTTGATTTGACGAGGTGCATGTATAAAGGTAGCGTATCAGAATTGCAGTGTGGAGTGTATATTGCCATGCCATCTGATCCGTGACCGTGATATATGTATGTACTCTTGCTGAGTGAGATCCATATGTTTATATCTAATAAATGGATTCGTTTGTATATGTACTTATGTACTCCACTTGCTCCTTACCAACTAATGTCACGCCACCCTTGAATGCCTGATGTGTTACCTGATCAAATGGCCTCCAGACTTGCAAGTGAACTCATCATGAACGGACAAAGTTAGGCCCAAGCACTCACAATGTACTGCGTACTTAAATTTGGCTCTTGGCTGCCTGATCAAATGGATTCTAGACTTGTATAAGTGAACTCGGTTTATGTTCAGATGTCACGTTTTCGTGAGGTTCTCGTTGGACCTCTTGCATAAACAACATGTGGATCAAACTTTACTTGTGGTCGTTTATACAGTCAAATTAGCCAACTGCTCACTGTACTCAGATGTGACGGTTGTTATAGCCTGAGCAAGATTTGAGTATATATTTCTTTTTTTTAAAAAAAATCCTTCTAAAGATGTGATAGTTTGGAGTTCTTAAGAGTCTTCTCTATGTCCTCTTTAATTACTTAATGAATTAAATTAGCACCGATCTTTACAGACAGGTTCATCGGGAAATGCAAAAAGCCTTGGAATTTACTCTCTTATTGGATTTTAAACACAATCCTTTAATTTTGTCGAATAATTAAAATTGTGGTTCGAATACCATGACAAAAGAGCCTATCACAAATAACACGAATTAAGCATGTGAGTGTCTTTTGAGTTGCAAAATACTATCCCGTCGTGTCCCCCCCCCCCCCCTAAGCATGTGAGTGTCTTTTGAGTTGCAAAATACTATCCCGTCGTGTCCCCCCCCCCCACACCCAAAACACACACACACACACACTCATTAGAGCCTTTTTTAAGAGATTTTTTTGGGGGTACGGTGACAGTACTAAACCTATTCTTCAATTGTATTTGTATGTGGGTGTTTACACCAAAATTTGGAAGAAGGAACGCGAGAACTTGCAGGCTTTCAAGGTTGTGCGAATCAAGAAAGATCGATGTCAGCTGATTCAAATACAACTCTGGAATCGGATATCTTAGGGTGACGTCAGAAGATAGCAATGATAAACTACGGTTGGCGCCGGGGAAATTACATATCGGACTCTACAAAAAAGAAAAAATTAGAGTCCAAGTTATCTTAAATTAGGAATGTTCTCCTTCGTACCTAAATTTGTAGCAAATCGTGATCAAGTAGGATTCATGTTTAGATCCCGGGTATAAATATCAAGCCCCGGCTATTGTAAAAAACAGACAATCAATTAAATACAAGTCAATTACTTTTTTCGGCTTCGGCCACCCCTTAGGAGTAGGAGTAGAGTAGATCTCGGCGAGTTCTTCGGCAAGTACGGCTGCATCGATCCGGTCGACCTCCACTTCTTGTTGTAAGTACCGTCATGGTTTATACCTCTGTTCGTATGGCTGCATCGATCCAGTCGACCCCCACTGCGGCTCTGGTATAAGCTAGTTATCGACTCTTGCCTAATTCAAGTATGAGGGTTGGTAATCTATGGGACGCCCTCTCCTGTCCAGGCTTGGAGGGTCAAATTCGACGTCCTGAAAGGATCGGTCAGAATGATTGGCAAAAAGGGTTCGCCAAGTAGTCTATCTAAAAAGGGAAATAAAAGATTACCTCACTACCAGAAGCAAATTCCTCATCCAGAGCTATACACAGAGGGTGGACTGGCCCACAGAAAAGATGGGAACGCCATTCTTGCCACCAGGTGTCGAAGAGGCTAGAAGAGAAACTGGCTATGACCTAGTTGTGCAAGGAAAAAGAAGGAAGGTCTGACCCCAATTGAAAGATTCTGGAAGCTTCCAACACGTCGCTGACATCTTCTCTCGGCTTCAAGATGTTCTCAAAGAACAAAGGGGGGGGGTTTGGCCGAGGCTGAACTGACGGGCCACAAAAGAAGGATTGTAAATCTCGTAGGTCGGAGGATTGCCCAGGGTGGAGGAGCCTTTGACCATTTTGCCATGACCATGACGAAATTCGGCCGGAAGAACACATCGCTTGATAAAGGTATTAAAGATCGCGGCCGCTATCTCGTCCGAACAGCCGGACTCAAATCGGAACTTGAATGGAAAGATCAGTTCATCATCCTCCTTGTAAGATAGACAAGTCAGGACGGCTACATCAAACACTCTGTAAAGCTTTTTGAAGAAGTGGCCAACATCGAAGTCAATGGTTATGTCCGATGCAGCCTCGCCATAATTCATACACTGTCGGGTTCTTCCTTCTTCGCCTCTGTATTCCTCATCAAAATTGGAGGAGGAAAAACTCAGGTCTCTGAGATCAGGCCTTACAGTCTTATGAATGTACATATTTAGCCACAATTGTATCAGCCACCAAGGACTGCTGATAGTCTGTATTGGTTCATTCTTCAACAGTTGAGCAGCCACCTGGTACATCAGATGATAAGCAGCTCCCAGCAGATATTTTCCAAGAGGGATATCCTTGCCTAATGCCAGGTGTTCTGCCATAAGTTTATGATTATAAGTCGGGCCACAAGATGACCCACAAAAGATAAATTTCTCCAACCACATATTCAGAAAGGCCACATATTCTCGTTCGCTGACAGATGATCCATCCTCAACATGATTCAGAATGTAACTCGCCCATCCGGTACAGTCTGCTATCTTGGCCAGTCTTTTAGAACTGGCACTCAAGTACTCATAAGGTTGCATTGATCCAGTAGTTCTAAGGCCGGTCAACATGTATACATCGGCCAGGATAATGGTCATCAGGCCATGGCAAAAAATAAAAGCATTTAGAGCATTGGACCAAAAATAAGAAGCAGAGATTAGGAGTGAATCATTCCTCTCCATTTCAGACAATAAAAGTGTCAGACACTGGTTCAGATCGTAAAGCTCCCAGTCTCCACCCTTTTTCGCGGATACCCTACGAAACCAGTCCCTCCATCCCTTAGGCGCTTTAGGCCAGTTTCTGAAGGAAGTTTTGTTTCAGGAAGATAAGTCCACTACGGACCTTTTAAAGGGGATTTGGTTGGTCTCTTGACAGATAAAATCAGATGGATCGGGATCACCCATTGGCCCGAGGAAGTAAGCATTAGGGACAACAGCCGATGGAATCAAGATCTCGTTCTTCATTTCCTAGAAATCGGATAAACTAAATTCAAGAGGAGCAGAAAAACAGGGTAATGGCCGACATCTAGAGAACGAAAAACTGGAAACATACCTCAGGAACATGATCATTGGTCGCCATCACGGCCGGAGCAAGTTTAGATCTAACAAAGATAGCTCGAATGACGGTTCAACGGAATGACGGATTTGCTAGGGTTTGGGTCCCTGGTAACGGCGGCGTCGACTGTTGGAGTTGGCTCCAGAAAAGAGGGGAAAGCAGAAAGGCCGAGTGCGTCGAAAGAGATACTATTGATGTTATATGAGGCTCAGGCCGAAAAGTCAGGAGTTATGCATATTTCTCGGATAAGGATGGTGACGGCGCGGTAAACCGTTGAGTCGGAATTTTGGGATAAAACCATTTTACCCCAAAATTGGGGCCATGTGTTTACACCAAAATTTAGGAGAAGGAACGCGGAAACTCGCAGGCTTTCAAGGTTGTGCCAATCAAGAAAGATCGATGTCAGCCGATTCAAATACTACTCTAGAATCAGATATCTTAGGGTGACGTCAGCAGATAGCAATGATAAACTACGGTTGGCGCCGGGGAAATTACATATCGGACTCTACAAAAAAGGAAAAATTAGAGTCCAAGTTATCTTAAATTAGGAATGTTCTCATTCGTACCTAAATTTGTAGCAAATCGTGATCAAGTAGGATTCATGTTTAGATCCCGGGTATAAATATCAAGCCCCGGCTATTGTAAAAAATAGACAATCAATCAAATACAAGTCAATTACTTTTTTCGGCTCTGGCCACCCCTTAGGAGTAGGAGTAGAGTAGATCTCGGTGAGTTCTTCGGCAAGTACGGCTGCATCGATCCGGTCGACCTCCACTGCTTGTTGTAAGTACCGTCATGATTTATACCTCTGTTCGTATGGCTGCATCGATCCGGTCGACCCCCACTGCGGCTCTGGTATAAGCTAGTTATCGACTCTTGCCTAATTCAAGTATGGCCTGTGTGATTCTGCCTCACACCCCACTGCTTGAATTAGATCAAGGTCAAGTTATCGGCTTTATCTTAGAGTGGCAGTCTTTGGTAGATTCATTAAGTTGCCGATATTGCTTATTGTTTTCATTGCTTATCTAATTACAACAATATTACTCTGCCCGATTGAGATTGATGTAGATTGGCCTTATATCTTATCTGACTCATCGTTTGGTAATCCAAAACTGATATGATCTACACTTTAAACGATGAGCTATGTTTTTTATCGGTTGTTTTATATCAATCTTAATCGTGCATAGCGTGCGGTTAAGGCATGTTTGATCCTGAGTAGATCTATCGGTTAGCGAGAACCGTTTTATGGCCCGTCATCATGGCCTGTGGGATTCTGCCTCTTACCCCACTGTTGGCACCGTGGAGTGGGGATCGTTGGTTGGTAGACCCGTCCCTGAGAAGACATGACCTTAACTGTGCACTATGCTTGAATCGGCTGTTTAGCCGATATCGAATGCTTTCACGAACAGTTCACCTCACGAGATCGTTGAAGTAGAGATAAGTTGAAAGATGTGTTAGCCCCATGATCTTGTTATTGTATTACGGCCTGCATGATTCTGCCCCATGCCCCACTGATATTAATAATGAGTTAGGGTCGTTGAATCTGTTGTTGTTTCTACGACCTGCATAATTCTGCCTCATGCCCCACTAGTCATGGTGATAGATGAGATCTAACATGTTCATTAGATTTATCTTTATTAAATGGTTAAGTGATGATGGATTGTTTCTTTATATAAAAAAGAGTTCGGTTACTCGTAATCATTGGCTCAGTATGGACCGATCATCATTGATATTTTATTGCCATTGATTAATGTTTATTTAAATGATGTTTATCCTGAATAATAACCGATTCTCCTCACACGACCCCATGAGCTCTAACTGACTCATTCTCATGAATATACTGGAATCGGCTATTTAGCTGATTTTCTTTCATATCAGCTTTCACAGCCGTACATTCGGGACTGTCTGGCAACACCGGCAAGTTCCGCTCTTAATTACTGATGAACTTTCTCTCCTTGTCAATTGCAGGGTCAAATTGACTGGCACGCCTTGGGAGGATTGCGCAGGATCGACCACCCCTGCGTTGAAGCTAGACGGATCTGCTTCATCGAGCGGACCCTTCCGGCTTGCTGCGTGTGTCCTCGGCACGGGACAAAATTCTGTATCGACAGTGGGATGCAACTATTTTGATTTTCATTTAGGAAATACCTTTTAACAACACTTTTGAACTAGATTAAAGCTTTGCCACAATATTGTAGAAGTTAAAATGATAAAAGTAGATTATTTTATTTTGAAGGCACTAACCCTCTTTTAAAAATTGATTTCATTTTCTTTTTTAGAACATTTAAAAATATTTTAAAAGTCTTGGATATCATAAAAATTACATTTAAAATACTTTTGACAAACTAGCAAAATAGTACTTACAATAAAAAGGGAGGTGACAAGATGAAGATATGGAGTATTGATATTCTAAAAGTTATACTATGATAAAAAAAAGTTATATACATTTTTCGGTGTTGAACATGTCAAAATGGGGTTTTAAAACTCAAAGGTTACTTTGCGTTGGGAATTGGGATTATTGAACCAAGCGCTTTTGATGATATTTGGTAACTCTGGTATTTAGCAAATTAACTCATCCAAGCATACCATGTGTATTGAATACATATAAGAAGTATCTTTAAATATGAATATACCAACCAATTATATTAACAAATAAATATATAGGACCATGCTACATTACTTCAATTACTCCTTAGAAAGTAAGAGTTCCAATATATCATTTTACCTTTGATTTTTTTTTCAGAATAGAAAAAAATAATTAAATAAATAGGGAAAAATGTTGGCAACCAACCGTCGAAGAAAATGGAATATCCTTAGGATAAAAAAACTCTTAAGGAAACCATAAAAACCGTCAAGAAAATAAATCCTGGTAGCCAACCCTCAAGGAAGGACCACTAAGGATAGAGAGCAAGAGAAATTCAATTACCTTTGGGGTCATCTGTCATAAATGATTTCTTTGAGGGTTAGCCAGCACGAAAATAAAGACGAGGTCAATTTTTTCACATAACTCTGAAGGATATATGTTTTCTTAAGTTCTAAGCCAAGGATATATATTTTCTTGAGGCATGATGGCACCAACAATGTATAGAGCAAGAGAAAAAAGAAACAACTTGGTGGAAGCCTATCACACAAATTTTCATGGTTGCCTAGGAATCAAACTCGTGACCCAAGGCTTCATGTGAAGCACCTAGATACCATTATACCTTGAAGTAACTTTTGACTAAGTGAATCAATCTTTTCTTTTATATTCACTTTAGTGAATCTTGTAAGGAATATTTGAGACCCTAAACGATATCAAATTAAAAAAGTTTGAACTAAATTTTTTATATATCATCGATGACTATAACTTTAGTTTAGTCTGTATCTTCATCCGAGGTCATTGAAAAATTCAAAAAAAATAGAACCTTGAGTATTTAAAACACAATTTTTAGACTCTAAATAACTTCAAATGAAAATGTCATCAACTAAAAAAGATGTAGTTCTCTAATCTCTTTGAGGTCTACAACTTTGACTTAAACTTTGTCTTCATCCCATATTATTTGATATTAGTATGTTGCATATTAGCTTTAAAACTTTTTTAACACAATATACTAGCTTTAAAACTAACTAGACATCTTAAGCTAAGTGCCAATATCCATTCTCTAATGTATAACAACTCAAAGTTCTACCTTTTGTTGGATTAATGTACTAAGAAAAAGTTGTATTTCATTCCACAAACATATCAAGGTAGATAACATTTGTGTCTATAAAATGAAATGTAAAACTAAGAAGCATGCAATGAGTTTATTATATTGGTGTTTAAGCTAGGAAAATGACTAGAAAATGAATATTTTTTAGCGGCCACAACAATTTATTTGAGGATTTGCATCATCCTAGGAAACTAACACTTCCTTGGTGGTTCCAATTACACCAAAGAAAAGATGCATTTTTTGGCGGTGTGGAATAACACCCAAGAAAATGTTGAATTACCTTGGTAGTTTATAATAACACTCAAGAAAATATGAACTGCCTTAGTGGTTTCGAATAGCACCCAAAGAAATGGAAAATTATCTTGGCGGTTTGTAGTAACACTTTTAAGAAAATATGGAATTACCTTTGCAGCTCAGGCTAACACACTCAAGAAAATGTGAAATTACCTTGCTGGTTTGGTTAGCACACAAGAATACATATTTCCTTGTAGATTCCCTACAACCCCAAGGTAATGATATATTGCTCGAGGTTTAATTTCGCCCTTCTAGAAAATTGTTAACAGAATAAAAGCCAAACATTTTGTTTGCTGGTAGTGTTTGCACCCTGCTTTCCTTGCCATGCATATATATACAGAACATGCACGGAAGTTACGCACGGATGCATCTGATGCCCAGCCCAGCGCATGGATTGGTCCTCTACGGCAACAAATTGTGGTTTTTTTCGATCATGAAGTTAGGCTTACGTAGGATAACTTCTACTATCTAGCATGATTATCGCTTGTCTATGCTCTATGGCAACAAATCTAGCTTTTTCTTTTTTGATAATAATGAAATCAGGCTTTCTTAGGACGGTCCAGCCTACGACTGTCCTAGGGCGCTCGTCATATGTGTATGATTGAACTCTTCTTCTTAATTACAATGAAACCCAAATCTTTTGCATAAAAAATAAATCTTGCACGATTATCACTTGTTTCTTGCACAATATGTACGTAATCATATACTCCCTCCATCCTGCAATACAAGGTATCTTCTTAGAAATTGTAAGACATAGTAGTATTATGGAAAGCAAATGATAGAATTTCATAATTTTTTGGTAAATTTGTTACGGATAATAAGTTAATTAAATACATGACAAATTTGCCAAAAAAAATTGGTAGAGCGCTGTTCAAGGCTGTGTGCAACGGGCTCCAATTTTCCAAGATTATGACATGCCTGATGCCTGATGGCATCTATACCAACCACAACCAAGCATGCAAGAAACTGAAGCAAGCGTGTCCGCCTGCAGCAAATTCAGCACGGTTAGACCTGCGATCATTTTCAGCTGGATATGATCTTGCATCGTCCGAACAACTACATAGGGTAGGATTTGCGTACGTGTGTTTATAGGTGTGAGTGTGCGTACGTGTTGTGAACGTACACGTTGTACTTTGTATTTCTCAAAAAACTACCATGTCGAGACGATATACTATATCTGACATGTCTCACGCTTACTGTTCTTCCATTTCCGACGTGTCATCGTCGGTGTTCCTGAGCCTTAATAAGAGGACGAACGAGGTAGCATGTCTGCATTTGACCGTACTGCGCTTGGCGGTGAGCCGGTGACCTAATGCCTGCTGAACGCTGCTACGCGAAAGCGCGCTCGATCCATCACCGACCTGAACAATCGGTCACCTTACCTATATATAGCTCGTCTCTTCTAGGACACGAGACGATCTACGTACACGTACTGATCCTAATTAAAAGGATAACGAAAACGACCAGAACCTACTACCACGCGCAGCAGCTGAGCTACCACGAATCCGGCCGTTTTATGGCCAGGTGGTCTGTAAGGACGACTCTTGCGATGGAGGTGTCCTTGACCATCTGAGAGAGAAAGCTGGTTAGTATTAACTATTTTTTCCCCATTTTTCCTGGTTTATGTCCTGCTATGTACTGACTGTCGTACGTTGCAGGTACTATCTTATTTTAGGGCTGTCGTCGTTTTCAACTCTATGAACTACCAACACCAATCGTTTCGATTCGTCAGCTTTAGTTTTCAGATAGATGCATGTTCTCTGTATCGATCTCAGCTATCTACTGTTCTTCACATGCACGGCAGCATGGGTATATATTCGGTAGCCTAACCACAGATCGAAGGCAAGGCATGCACCAAACACCACAGTAGGGCCCGTAAAGGTAGAGCATCCACCAACCAGATCACACATATTTCCGGGGCATTCTCAACACTGATTTTAACCAGACACAGGCAGTAGAGAACTAGCTAGAGATCACACGGACACTAGACACTAGTTGAGCGGATGACCTTGCTAGAGGGGTTTCAGGGGAAAAAATGCAGATGACCTACCATACTCCTACATGTCAGGCTGGCACGGTGTGGCACCAAATGTCAGACTCCCTCTTGCACACGCATGTATGTATATGCAATCATGCCTGCAGCAAAGCCTAGCTTCGTTTAGCAACTATAAATAGCATACCGCACTTCTCTTCCAGGCATCACAAGACGAACTAACCAGCTATCTAGCGAGTGAGTGAGTGAGAGAGAGAGAGAGAGAGAGAGAGAGAGAGAGAGAGAGAGAGAGAGAGATTGCAGCAGCACAGAAGCATAAGCCATTGGATATGGTTTCCAAGAGAACCATGTCCTCGCTCGCCTTCCTCATGGCACTGCTTCTCTCTTGCAGCACCATGAGCAGCGCGGCACGGTACCTGGAGGAGACGAAGCCTGCAGAGGAGTACCCGCCACATCCGACCGCGCCGGAGATCCCCAAGCCAGAACTGCCACCGCATCCCACCGTGCCGGAGTTGCCCAAGCCTGAGCTGCCACCTCACCCCACCGTGCCAGAACTCCCGAAGCCTGAGCTGCATCCACACCCTACCGTGCCGGAGCTGCCCAAGCCTGAACTGCCACCGCACCCTACTGTGCCAGAGCACCCAAAGCCTGAACTGCCACCACACCCGCCACAGCTCCCAAAGCCTGAACCGCCGCACCCCGCTGTGCCGGAGCTACCGCACCCTGCCGTCCCTGAGGTGCCAAAACCCGAGCTGCCCCACCCTGCTGCACCGGAGGTTCCGAAGCCAGAGCTGCCGCACCCTGCTGCACCGGAGGTTCCCAAGCCAGAGCTGCCGCACCCGGAGGTGCCAAAGCCTGAACTGCCGCCACACCCCACCGTACCAGAAGTGCCTGAGGTGCCAAAGCATGACCTTCCGCCTCTGCCGGAGCCTGAGCTGCCAGCCAAGCCGGAGGAGAGCCACTACCCGGTGCCAGAGGCCAAGCCATGATCGAACTACGTCATCACTGTTGTCTCAAGAATAAATATGTGTTGTACTAGTGCCTATGTGTATGGTGTAGGAGTAGTGTGACGTTCAGTGTTGTACGTTGTGCTGCTTTGAGATGTACGTACGTATCTATTGCCTTTGGTGTACCATATATACATGTATATTGATATGGTTTCGTATATATTACTTATGCTATTTTGTCTTCTATATATAATAGGGATCTATGAATTAATTCTGCACACATACAGCCTGCATATGTTAATATATGTGGTTCAATATGTATGTGCCACGACCTTGAATTTAGCATAGATTTTGTTTATATATAACCAGGAAATTAATACCTTACATTGATCAACTTAAGGAATCAATGATAGATATATGCCTGTACAAATTGTCCTTTCTTCATTTTCCTAATCATCCCTACCGAAATATATGTAATGCTTGTTCTTAATTCGTTACCGGCACATAGTACAAAGTACAAACACACCTGTTTCAAGTCTGGAGACATCAATACATAGTTTGTTTCATGTAGCAAAAGCAAGTTTTCCAGAAACATGAAAAGAATTTTTTACGGGAATCGAATGTCACTCAACTTCTTTTTACCGAAGCTAAAGAAAAGAAATATGAAGCATTATTTAAAAGTCATATATTGTAAAAAAAAATGTTAGCCTTGATCAAATAACATCACCACATATAGTTATCATCGAAGCCAGACAATAAAATAAGGTGCATTCTATTACCACTAATATAATTACAAAAAAATGTTGCCCCTAATGAAAAATTAATTGCAAATGCAATTATTCAAAAATTACATTTTAAGAGCCCAAAATATATTTCTTTGACAATTCACACCATCTCACCAAGCCCACATCCACGAGCACGTGAATTTCAAGAGGTTTAATTCAATGCAATACATCATGTAACAAAGCACGCACTGTCGCACTAAATGTGAACATGCAAATTTAAACAAAAATCAGTTTGGACGCGCTTAATATGAGGTTCACGACGCTATCCCACCGAAATGTGAATAACGTGAATTTAAACCAAAATCAGCTACGGAGTATATACTTTTTTTAGCAGAAAAAACCAGCTATATACTGATAGTATGAGATTTGAATGTTCGAGCAATAATGGTTAGGTGTAAAATATCTGCACTAAAACTCCACACACACACACACACACACACAGAGAGAGAGAGAGAGAGAGAGAGAGAGAGAGAGAGAGAGAGAGAGAGAGAACATAATTCAGTACAGGTTAATGACATCAATAATCTCAGTTCTAAGGGCAAATGTACAACATGCCACTAGTTCATAAAGCAACTGCTGAAGCAACTGAGAAAGGCTGCTAACCACTAATCTTTATCTCTTATAAAGCTAAACCCCACTACAAGTTTTATCTCAACATGTAAGACATCCACATCATTTTCCACAACCTATCTACATCACCCCCCACTAATAGCTATGTCATCCCACAAATTTTCAATCTCTTAATGCAAGTTGTTCACACCATCTCCACTAAGCACAATTTAATTTCAACAAATAAGAAATATAGAGGCATTCATAAATTATTATTTGTTTTGCCATTTCATTCTCTTATAATTCGATCTAATTCTGTTAGTTTTTTTATAGGATTCTTTCCTTGCCTTCTATAATTTTGGTAAGAATAGATGTAAGAATATATATGTTTAATTCATACATGCAAGAATTTTTTATTTTTAAGAAAGTTCCGCGGCAATGAGCGGGGTATCCTTCTAATTATTCGCCATATAAGCCGTTTACACATGTAAGCAGTTCTAGTTATTCGAAAAATGGCCGCTACTCAAGCATATATGAAAGCAAAGCAGCAACGCCTTTTTTTATTTCCAAAGAATAGAATTTGGATGGAAGTTCTAGAATAGAATTGAGGCAGAGGCTGATCCCTACTGAAAAATATATTAAAACAACCAAACAGAGTACAGGCATGCAACAAGGAGAGGGGGAAAGATAGCCAGGAGTTCAGGGGAAAAAAAAGGAGAGAAAGAAAATGAGGTAGATTACACAAACTGCTCTAGCCATGAAATAATTAAAGGAAAGTTCTTCTTCGCCCGAAGAATAACTAGGCCGAAGACTTCTTTAAAGCAGCGCTTGCATCTTTCTAGTGATGCTGCTTCACCTCTGAAAATGAAGTTATTTCTGACAGACCAAATGCTCCAGCACATCAAGACAATGATCTCCATGGAAAAGGAGACGTTGAGTTGGGATTTGAGACTTTCCAGAATCTACAAAGGGTCCACTGAATTTGGAATTTGAATACCCACAAGATTCCAGCAAACCTTGGCAAACTGACAGTGGAGGAACAGATGTACCACCGTTTCCTGACAAGAGTTTGTTTTAGTTTTCTTCTCTCATGTGACAGTCGAGCTTCAATGCTCTTCATTGTAACGTTTAGGCTGCATACCTTTTTTGGAATGTAGAGGCTGAGAAGTTTTGTTCCTTTATATCTAAAAAAAGCAGCAACGCCTTTTGAACATTTCACACCGTAGTAGTAATTTTCAACTAAATTGACAACTGCTACGAAACCAGGAACGTCATCAGCGTGGACTTATATAGCTCATGCTAAACTGCACGTTTTTCAGTCTTGTCCTTGCAAACACACATATTCAGTCGATGAGAGTACGAGACACATCGAACACGTACGTGTCGCCAAAGAAACATGTGCTTTCATTTCAAAAGAAAAAAGGTGCAGCTACTCCAACCAATCAGATCGATCAGTTCTCAGTATGTATATTCTCAACCGATCAAACCATACACAAGCAGGAAATCGGCATGGAGATCAGAGGGACGAATTAAGGACCAAATCTTAACAACCACGGGGATGCAATGACCTACCAGCTGCTACCAACGGCAACATACAAGATATGCATGGCTCCAGTAAACGCTCACAGTAGAATTGCCGAGTGCCTGTGGTTCGCCGAGTGCATTTTATCGGGCACTCGGCAAACATCATATTTACCGAGTGTTTTTAATTAAACACTCGGCAAACATATAGCACCCGGCAAAACCCAACTTTGCCGAGTGTCTAATAAAAAACACTCGGCAAACTACAACGAAACATTCGGCAAACACAGACACTCGGCAAAGTAGAGGCACGTACGCTGGGCGTGCGGCGGCCATGTGACGGCCGTTGGGTGCGTCGCCCTGCCGTTATAACTTTACCGAGTGTCCGTTAGAGACACTCGGCAAAGACAGGGTTTGCCGAGTGTTTTTTATTGACACTCGGTAAACTGATATTTTTGTCGAGTGTTTTTGTTTGGCACTTGGCAAAATGATGTTTTTGCCGAGTATTTTTTATTGGCACTCGGCAAAATAATAATTTTTTTTTCTCTCCTGCTCTCCAAACTTTTTCTACTCTCCACATACAACATGTGGTATTACATGTTAAATTTTGGCATATTTCTGCTATATTTAATTAATTTATTGCATTTAGAGGAATTTTTTGGTTTAAGTCAAATTTGAACTGCAAGTGATTCAAATAATGGAATAAATTGAGTGGAGAAATCATATTTATGTTATTGAGTCCATTTTGGGGCCTTACTCGGGAAATGAAAAGAATTTTCGAACATTTTGTTCAGGAAACACGACCACGAACATGTGGCCGAATGGTTTTTAAATTTTAAAAAAAGCAAACGAAGTCTGAAAATCACAAGATTTGTCAAAATCTCGTGATATCATACGTGGAGACCGTGGAAAAAATTGAGAAGGTTTCGCACAATTTGTCACGTACGACCTTTATAAACCGAAGCATCTCCGAAGAAGAATCGTAGTGTTGAGAATGATCCGGTAAGATTTAGAGTCAAAGTGACGGTCGAATTGGGGTTTGACTTCAAAAGTTTTTGTATAGACAATAGACAACATAGATTGGTTCACGTCAATTTTTGGTAATTTTTCGGATCCGTTTGATAATTTTAATTTATTAACCGCAATTATAGAATTTTAATTGATATAAATTGAATTTGATCTATAACTGTATGAAATAATGGATTAATATTCGTACAAAAATCAAATATGCATTGTTGAGTGAATTTGACAAGGTATTTTTAAATTACATCATAACAAATTTAGTAGAACACGCTATGAAGAAGGACAGTGGAGCATGGAATATAAACTTTTTTGCCGAGTGTTTTATACCTGACACTCGGCGAAAAGAATAGTTGCCGAGTGTCATATAGGGGACACTCGGCAACTTCGTCGACCCGACCCCACTGCATAGTATCGGGCCGTAATGAAAATAAAAAAAAACAATGCTTAGTGCCTCAGATCTTGGCACTCGGCATATATAAAAAACAACACTGCTGCTGGTGTGTTCACGGGAGGTTCCCATGCCCGGTATGCAAGGCTTCTCTGATGTTCATTTGGTTGACGAAGGGTGCTAAATATTCTTCGTTCGACAAACATCGACATTTCCTCTCTCCTGACCATCCATTCAGACTAGACATCAAGAACTTTACGAAAGATGTCGTAGTTAAAGACTCTGCACCGCAGATGATGATAGGAGCCACGGTTCGTGCTCAGTTAGACGCTTTCGAGGTCAATAAACAAGAAGGTGGTTTTGTGGATATGGCGAGCAACATGCCTGGACTCAGAAGTCGTGCTTGTGGAACCTCACCTATTTTGATGATCTTCTTCTTCCACATAACATTGATGTAATGCACACTGAAAAGAATATCGCCGAGCTAGCTATGCTGATATAGCTCATGAGTCTTGATGTAAGAGTCAATGCTAGCTTTTCATACTATAGCCATTAGTATTTTACTGTTGATATAGCTCATTAGTATTGGGATGCCAACTACTATATGCCAGCTTCCCTATGTTGACTGTGATTTGCAATCTGTTGCAATCTGTTTCATATATGCAGAAAGGTACTGTGATATGCAACTTCGTTGTGTGATAGGAGAAAACTGAATGCTGCTAGCTCATTCTTTAGAAAATGAACATCGGCTGGTAGCGTGGATGAGAGAAAATGAT